GGGGGGGGCGTATGTAAGGAAATCTTTTTCTCCCTCCGAGAAGGGAGCGGCCCATCCCAGGTCCTGAGGAGGGGGGTCTTGGGGCGGGGGGAGACGGAGGCACGACCGGTGCCCCCTCCCGCTGCCCCCCCCGCTGCCCGGCCTCCCCCCGCCGCAGGCAGCGCGGGGCTTCCCGGGGGAGGATGGGGGGAGCATCCCCCACCCGCCCCTCCGGGACCCAGCCTGGGTGCCTACTCCTCTTTCGCATCTTTCCTTCTCCACTTACGTAATTAGTTTGTTTTTGTTTTTGTTTTTCTTCTCTCCCTCCTTTTTCCCCGCGCTGCCGTTGGCTGCGGGAATGTTTGGGATACTTTGGTTCTCCAGGTGGATTCCTGGGCTGGAAGCTCAGCTCTGCTCGGGTGGGAGGGATGTTTGCTGTTGCTTTTCCAGCTTTTTGCACTTCTCGACTTCCACCTTCTCTGCTGCTCCTCTCTCGAGAGGCTGAAGAGGTGGAGATCGGTATTTGGAGCTCTCCGTACCACTGAGTTACTCGCTGAGCCTCGTGTGCTCAGGGAGAGGTAGAGCAGCAGTACGGGGCTGTTTTCTAAGCGAGGCCGTGCAGACTTTTAAAAATAAATGAATAAGTAGCCTCAGCGCCCTCACACTCACTTTTTGTGAGTGCTTTTGAAAAGCAGCGTGAAGTTGAACGCAGTGCAGAGGGTTAAATGAAATAGTTTTGAAGACCAGTGCAAGGCAGGAGGTTTCAGGAGGGGATTTGTTTGTGGTAAGTTAGTCGGAGTCAAGCGGCTGAAACTTTGCTGTAACGTAGATTAAGCTGGTGTGGGCGCCCCAGGATGCAGGGAGGTGACAACTGACCCCGGTGGGCACTGGCCTCGGCGCCGGGTACCAGCCCCTGGGGGGCTCCTCTGCAGAACAAACCGTGGGCCCCAGGGAAGCGACAACGGGGGGAGACACACACCCCCCTGCAACCTGGTGTGGGAACCCCAGCATCCCCTCATCCAAGAAGCTAAGCCAGCAGTGGAGCATCACCTCCCCAGCTGCCCTGAACACCGTGGCGTGGCACCCTGGGGAGGGCTGGAGCACGGGGGGGGGACCCCACGGGGGGCCTGTGCTCGTGGGCAGCTGCAGCTTCCAGCTTTACTGTGGGTGCGCTGAGCAACACTGCACCGTGGGATGCCCTGTTTGGTTTTGCCTCCCCCAACGCAGGCAGGACCCCTCTTCCCGCTGTTGCCTTCTCTCCCCCATGGTTTCCATCACCAAAAGAGTGACCTCGATTGCTCAGAGGAAGCGACACCCGCTATTACATAAATGCTTGAGGACGAGCGTGATGGGAAGGGAGATGGTAGCCTGAACCGTGGCTGGGGGAGGCAGAGCGGAGTCCTATCTGGCCCAGCTCAGCACAGGGGGAGTTGCAGGGTGATCCGGTGATGGCCTTGCAGCTGGCACGGCATGTGCTCTCTGCTCTCCTGCACACACGCTCCTCCCCAGGTGTCGGAGCAGCCTGCCAGATGCACGGCCCTGAACCGGAGGGGTTTTCTCGCCACCCAGTTTGGGCAGCCCGAGCGCAGCAGGAGAGCATGGGGTTGGGAGGTGTGAACCGTTGCCATGGGACCCCGTAACCTCTCTGGAGTACCCTACCTAGCCAGGACGTGGGCTTGATCCTGTTCTCCTGAGCATGGTTGTGCTGCTGAATTACACCCAGCTCCTCACTTAGGCCAGAGAGAGCTCGTGCACTGGTTAAAGAGCATCTTGGGTCCCAGGGCACTGAGCTTCACTGGGTAACGCAGAGGGGGAGGGCTCATCCCTGCATGGGAGGGGAAGAGTGCTGGGCAGGCTGACCCACTCCTGTGGACTACAGAGGACTTGGGCTAAACCTTCCCAGCTCCATCCCTTGGGCACTGCCACTGGGAAGAGAGAGGGGAGACACCACAGTGCTCTGAGCCTTGTGTGCTGCCTTTAGGGAGGGGATGGCCTGTGTGACGCGGGGGGGACAGGGAAAGAGCTGTGCCACCATCCTGCTCCTTACCCACCTCCCCAATAGCACCCTCAGGAGGTTTCCTCTGCAGGTTTTTCCCTCTCTGTTTAACACGAGGATGAGCCAAGTACCGCCAGGACTAAATATAGTCAAAGTATTCGTTCTTCGGCGTGAATACAAACGCTGTCACGATGGAGCCAGGAGGTAAATGGCCTTCGAGGGCTGACTCTGCTCTTCCCCTCCACAGGTCCTGGGCTGCCGTGCCGGGGCTTGGCCGTGCGTGGGGCTCCCCAGTGTGGCTGCAGTGCTGTCGCCAAGAGGAATGCTGAAACGAAGGGGCTAATGAGCACCAGAGAGGGAGGATCTATAACTTCCAGATGGCGACGAGCCCATAATCCCTTTGGGAAGAATTAGGAACTCATCAGCGCAGCAGAGCCTGGCGAGGGGAGCAAAGCACGACACCTCCGGCGCTGGGAGTGCTGTGAGAGGCTGAGGGCATCCTGATGCCGACTGCACTGGCCGCCCTGCCCCGAGCCGCCTGGCTTTGTCTCACAGAGCCCTGGTGCTGCCAGGAGCCTGTCCTCGAGCGCTGAACTATTTCTCGTTTTAATTGATCGCATGTTCTCCAACCAAACCCTATCCAGGTCCTGCTCCTCCCAACTCAGAAAGGGACTTCTGCCCTTAACAGAGACTTCTTCCGTCTGGTTTTTATGTCCCGTGGGATTGTAAAGCATCTTTCTTACTGGATTTCATCTCCCATCAAAGTGTGTTTTGAGGAATTACGGGCTTATTCCTATGGCTTTATAAACCACCGGGATCCGAGGGTCTCTGCCTTCCGTACTGCCACTGCTCCCACCTGTCTGCGATGGGGCGAGAGCAGGAGCTGATCCAGGCTGTGAAGAACGGGGACGTACCCAGCGTGCAGAAACTGGTGGCCAAGATCAAGGCATCCAAGAGCAGTGAGTACCTGGGCGTAGAGCTGTGGGCTCCCTCTCCCTGGCTGGGCACCGCTGCCTGTCCCGGGGCACGAGTCCCAGCAGAGGGCTCAGGGCCATCCAAGCCGGGGTGCAAGTGCTGGCTCTGAACCCCCAGCGCATGAGTTAAGCCGCGCCTGGAGGTGGGAGCACAAGCGCAGCCCATGCAGATGAATGACTGGGCTGTAAACAATCCTCCAGCCTGGGCTGGGGTTCCCCTCGGGCTAGGGGCCCTGAAGTGTGGGCCACTGAGCAGGGGGTGGTGGTGAAGGGAAACAGCAGAACAGCAGTGGCAGGGGGAAGCGAAGCTGCTTGGGTGGGGGGATGCTGCTACAAAGGGTCTTTAGCGATTGCCATTCACTCCTGGCTGTATTTATCTTGTGAAAAATTATCATCCCAGCCAGTCGACTGGAACCAATCGTCAAGCCTTGAATTTCAGTCTGGTAATGTTTAACCCTTCAGCAGGGTTGTTTTCTTGCATGTGCTCCCGGAAAGGTCAGCGTCAAGCATGTCTCGGAGCAAGCAGCGGGCTCACGGGGGTCCCCAAGGGCACTGGGGTCCTGCAGGCACCACACGGCGTCTGGAGATGGGGAGGGGGGAAAAGTGGTGGAGCAGATTGTGGCCAGTGCCACAGTGCCCTTGTAGAGAGCTGAGCTCCTGGTCCCTTCTTGTGAGCTACCAAGAGTAGGAAATTAGGAAAAGTAAATAAAAGGGCTCTCGGTGTGGTGTGTGGCCAGGGGAAGGCACATGGTGCCTGCCTGGGCTGCTCGAGCTGCTCTGGGATGGGGGTGCGGGACTCCCTGCCAGGGATGCTCATCGTGGAGGGTCTTGTGGGTGTGTGTGGGAAAGCTGGAGGGGGAAAAAACTGTCCTGGGGAGGGAGAGGAAAAACTCAGGCAGGAGAAGAAGCTTTAACGCTTCCTAGGAGTGGCTCAGGGGGCAGTGACTGGTGCTGAGAAACATGAGTTAGGCTGAGAATTATGAATGTGAGAAGGGGATCGATTCCCCTGGGTCAGCAGCTGGAAAGCTTTGATTGGGGCCAAAACTGAAAATCCCAACTGCCAGGCCTACAGGAGGGCTGGGGGCCACCTCCTCCCCAGAACAAGGGGTGCCTGGTGCCCCCTCCCAGGGTGAAGGGACCAGGTGCTATTGCCTCTGTGCTCATACGGGGTCCCGGAGCTGGAGCGAGAGAGGTTTGCCTGCGCAGGCAGGTTGAAGGACACCCCCAAGGCAATAAATAATGTCAGGATGCGAGCGTCCCGCTGGCTGACACGGCCCTATTCCCCTGAGCTGGTGTCCCGTGGCTGGACAGTGTGGGCAGGATGGGGTGCCCATGGCTCTCCTCCTCCTGCACACCCGGAGGGGTGAAATTACACTTGTTTTCTCCAGCCCCCTCCAGTAACTCTCTCCCAGTTAAACCCCGTCTGCGTTTTCTCTCTGGTGTCTTCCCCTCCCTTCAGCCGTGGGGCACCCACATGAACATGTGTGTTTAACTCCCCCGCTGCAGTGGTGTCAGCAGCTCCTCTGTTTATTTTCATTTTATTTCTTTAGAAGGAGGGAGGGGGGGGGGGGCAAAAAGCCTGAA